AAAAAAAAAAAAGGATGAAATGCACTGCCCAAAGTCAAGCAAACAGGAACTCCAAATGATCCTTATTTTTTTTTCAACTGTCTACATTCTCTCCTCATTCCTGAGGAATAGAAGCAAGCAGCAAGCGATTTCTTCCTTATGCATGTCATCTACTTCTAGCATCCTCCATGTACTGGCTTCTGTCATCACAATCACAGGATGATTGTAAATATCCAATTCTGTAGTGCTGCCCCTTCGCAGAGCTTTCCACTCTAGAGATCCACCTCATCACTTCCCTCAGGCATCTCTTCTGGTGCTTACTGTAACTTTTGGTCGTGGTAGTGGTGGTGGTGGTGGTTGATTGATCTGTCCAAAAATCAAGATTAAAGAACCCTTACAATCACAAAGAATCCATTCAACTGCCTCATTTTCCTGAGGAGCAAGTAAGTCTGAGAGAGAAGATTTGACCAAGGTTATAAAGCAAGTTAATGGGAACATGGTTGAGTTCTTTTGTTCCCAAAATGCTTCAGTAATGTGTAAGTGCTATGGAGAACTCTGTTTCCAGTGTGACCCTCCAAGACACAACAACTACAAACTAGATAAAATACAAAAATGAACAAAAGCTGGCAAATTTTAGAAAGAAGCTGAAAATTGGATGAAGGGACTGGAATGAATAATTCCTCATTTTTTGGAGCTCTGGTTTCAGAGTATCCAGCTATAATTCAAATAAAAACCAAATCTTAGGCTTTCAATCTTGAAGTACCAGAAGACACCGCCCAGAGCAGCCACAGATAATGGGAAGTAGGACAAGAACCAGAGAAGGAGAGTCTCAGGTTCTGTGTGCAAATTCTACCTAAGACTGTCTGACCCCTGAACCATGCATACAAAGAGCAGAATTCAAAGATCTCAGTTAAGAACAAAAGAATTGGATTGAAGCCAGGTGCAATAAATAGTACAAGCCTATAATCCCAGCTACTTCTGAGGCTGAGGAAGATAAAATATTCAAGGCCGGCCTGGGCAATTTGGTAAGACCCTACCTCAAAAAATGAAAGGGCTAGGGATATAGTTCAGTGGGTTCAATTGCTAGCACTACAATAACAGCAACAACAACAAAAACTGGACTGAGATTTGGACTGCCAGCTATTATAGGTAACACAGCTTACAGTCTGCTGCCTGCTCAAATAAAAATATCAACACTATTTGAGTTCCCACAACATAACATTCATAATGTGCAAAACACAATATCAAATTACATGAATAACTAGAAAAATTAAGCTTGTTGGCCATGGACAATCACCAGAGGGCAATTTCAAAATGATGACATGTTGAGATGATAAGACAAGAATAGTTAAGGCATAGCTATTATAACTGAGTTCAATGAAGTAAAAGAAAACATGCTCAAAATGAAGGGAAAAACAACAGTAAATACCAGAGAAATCAAAAGTTTTTTTTAAATGGAAACTTTTAGAAGAGAAATTCAATGAATGGGCTTAGAACAGAATGAAGATGACAAAGGTAAGAGTCGGTGAAGCTTGAAGAACAGAAATTATACAAACTGAAATAACTCTGGGCCATCTGCAGTCTCTAGAAAAACCACTCTTAGAACTGTTCACCAGAGAGTACAAAGTGATAACTTTATGTTATCAGAAAATTTGATACCAGGGAGAAACAGAATAACTTAAGATCACAGATTAGAAAAACTATTTAGTGGCAATTTTGTTAGACCAATCCACCCTCATCTACTAATTAAACTTCCTAGGGTCTTGCAGATATAAGTAGAATAATTTTGAAGGTGAAAAATGAAAGCACAGGATAAAAATTAAAACCAAAGATATCCATAATACCCAAAGACTCAGGAAGCAAATCTAATGTTCCACTATATGTTAGGGAGCAAGAAGAATCATTGCTTTCCTCCCATAATGGATGAGACAACACTCAAGATTGTTCAGGGGAAAATGCCAAGAGGGACTTCAATGGTTTTTCTGCCCTGTGCAGTCTCTTCATTAAAAAGCTAATCTAGGGGCTGTGGTTGTGGCTTGGTTGTATAAGGCTTGCCTAGCATACATGAGGCACTGGGTTCAATACACAGCACCACATAAAAATAAATAAATAGATAGATAAACAGATAGACAGACAGACAGACAGACAGACAGATAGATAGATAGATAGACAGATAGATAGATAGATAGATATCGAGGTATTGTGCAGATAATCTTACCTCTCATATGATGCATAAGTGAACAGGTTTAAGTGACTTGCGACCCTTTTTAAAAACTAATCCAACAATTATACTAGAATCCAACAATCTCACTGCTATGTATCACGTTCTTTTCACTTACCAAAGAAAATTTACCAGAGAAAAGAAAGATTGGAATTAGAATGAAAAAACTTAAGAACTTTCATGCATTTTGAGAGCATTTAAAAATAAACAACTGGTAAGACTAACTTGAGATTAGTAATAAGTATGTTTTTCAAGAGAACCACTAATCTGGCAAACAGACTGATAGCAGGTCCAGGTAGGAGCAATCAGTAGATCTGAGCTGCACAGTGCCAGCAGCTTGGCAAGAGTCAATTCAGTGCCACTGAGGTTGGTAGAAGCAGATAACCTGAACACCAATACTGACTTCACATGTTCAGGTCACTTACGTTGGACCTTAGGACGGTCTAAGTATAAACAGAAGAAACATAAGCTAAGAAGATACATCAATTTTGGTAAGGCCAGCCCTTTTCTCATCCCCTCTTCCATACCCCATCTCCCCACATAAGGAAAGAAGAGAATTAAGAGT